TGTTCTTTGAAGCTCAAAGGAGCTCCAGGCCTTCTCTGATGAATTCCATTCAAAGGACATTCAGTGATATCTTCCAGAGAGGCTATATGAATAAAGCCACCACGTCCTACTGAGGCAAAGAGTATTCCATGCAGATCCACTATTAGTGTACACAAAAGCAGCCTTTCAAAGGTAGTGCACTCTGAATGTGCCAGACTACAAATCCCATCACCTACAGCAAGTGTGCCCAACAGCTATACTGGTTGGTGTGGTTGTAGATTATAAGTTGGAACCCGCTGGAGGGAGACTTCACTATGGCATTGAGGAAAAGGCAAGACGCAACAGGAAACATGGAGAAGTACAGGGGATGGGGTACACACACACACACACACCAGCAAGATTAAGAAAAAAGCAGGAAAAGTCATTGATAAAAGATCACACACTCCCCCCTGGCTGATAGCCCTTAAGATGTTGGGTGGATGTATAGTCACATATCCAAGTGACTGGTTTCCACAATGGCAGCTCTGCTCCTTTCTCCCGACATGTCAGTAGAGCGCTATTTGCTCTGTTTATTAGTGAGACCAGCCAAGGGCCACCCCACCCGCACTCAGCGGCAACCTCTTCAGCAGCAGATTTTTAAACCAAACCAAACAAACAAACAACATTTCTGGAACCATCGGAGACCAAACTACATTTACAAGACTGCAATCCTGCATGGCTTTTCATCAAGGAAAATTGTTCAGATCAATATGAAAATCAAATTGTGTTTGTGTGACATTTCTTTAAACTCAGCAGTTTCCTGCAGTCTTCCAAGAACTCTCTGAGTGCAAGCAGTCTTACAAACAGCAATGCACCCCAGCGAAGTCCTTTGGTTCCCTGAGCAGCTGGGGCAACCGTAAAGCAAAATGGACTCAAGTTTTTAAACACATCTATATAGATAAATTGATCTTTTCTGCATAGTTCCAGCTGTCCAGTCCAGCTGATGATCTATTATAATCCCGCGTTTCGAGAAGTTACTTTCTGGACTACAAGTCCCATAACTCCAGCCAACGTGGCTAAGGGATGATGGGAGCTGTCATCTCCAAGCTATTCCCTCCAACTCTGCCCAAGGCAAGTCTGTTCTGCCCCCTCCCCAAAGACACTGTAGTAGGCTCAAGCTCCTCCATTTCCCCCACACTAACTGGTTGAGGGACTAGATGCAGCTCTCTCTACAGTACCTGGGACACCTGCAACTAGGGAAGAGTTACTGCCTGTGGAGGGGAGGCAGGAAGATTTTCCCCCACAGCACACGCGCGCACACAAATATACAAGGAACTCCAGGAAAGGAGAATTAGAAAACACGCCCAGAGCTTCCCGGGTGACCTCGATCTCTGGTATGCCTGCAGTTGTTCAAGGACCCCCATGAGATCTTCTGGCTAAACGGAGCACGATGCGGCAACGCCTGCCTTCTAACTACATCATCCTCGGGGGTGGCGGATGACGAGGTCCTCAAGACTTTCTCCAAATATGGATCGGGGTTGGAAACCTCGGGAGTTTGTTTAGCTGAAGCCGGAAATCACTTTGGCGACTGTCTCTGTTTCTCCCTCCCCCCCCCCCGCTCTCCGCCTCCTTCCCAAGGCGGATTGCTAAACAAGGCCAGGTAAGGGCACAGCTTTTTTCCGCCCCGCCTGTAGAGGGCAGTCGCCCTACCTTACCGGGCCCCAGGAAACTTTGGGAGGAAGCACCGGTTTCAGCCAGTTCTGTTTGCGAGTCTCCGGCTACAGGTGCCTGGAGGAAACAAAAAACGGCTCAGTAACAGCCCTGCTGCCCTGTTGCAACGCCGAATGGATAAGAAATGCGGCACCTCGAGGGCAGATCTGTGAGAGAGGTTGAGGGCTTTTCTTCCTTCTTTGTGAACACTCGTGGAAGGAGAAGGCTATGCAGGAAATGCAATGATTTTATACAAAGTGCAGCTCCTAGTATTTGGCACCACTCCGGATCAGCAGATGGTTTCCTTATGTTGCCTTACTGGAGGGAGTGGGAAGGAGAATGTCTCCCAGAAGAATCCACAAAAGACGGACTTTTACCCATCAGCCTCATTTCTGTTCCTTCGTTGGAGGTGGTGGAGGTGGTGGTGGTGGAGGGGAAAAGCTGGAGCCAGCCAGGAGAAAACATACCCGTGTTTGAAAAGTAAGACAAAACCGTATGTTTGTGGAAACTGCACTGCAGAAGAGTGCCGCAGACTGGGGCTTCAAGCCTCCCCGAGTGAAGGACACAGGCTCTATTATATTGGTCTTACCTCCCTGGCTGCAAAGACACCCAGCCCCTTTCTCTTAAAAGAAGCCCCCCCCCTTTTCATTTCTGTAACTCCTGTCAGATTCAACAAAGCTGCTTCTTATTCTCTTTTTAAAACTCCACACATTACTAGACCCACACTCACATCTCCCCCCCCTCCCTGTCGGTTAGGACACAGGAGCAACACTTACCCTGAAACACAGTCCCTATGAAATGTCTCCCTCTCTGCCGTGTTGCACCCCTTTCAGCGGTGGAAGGCGCAGGCGACGAGCCCTGGGCTTTGCCTCCTCCAGAGCAGCAGTAGGGCTGGCGAGGGGTTCGCGCCCCTCCCCTACATGGCCACCCTCTGGGAATGTAACAGCACATATAAGACACAAACCTTATGGCCATGGTAGGCAGCCAAGTTGATCATATTGCTTCCCCCTCTTCACATCTCCTCCCTCCTTCTCCCTCCCTGTCTCTTTCTCCCCCCTCCCCTCTTTAGTTTGCTATAGGGTTTCCCCCCTTCAAATATTCTGTTTTAAAACAGCTTGGTTGGAAATAAACAGCAGATAAGGGATCTGAACTTTATTGGAGAGCAAAATTAAAATAAACACAACCTCTAGAATGGATAAGCAATTAGGAAGGGTGATTGGTAGCTAGAGTACCTCTCTTAACATGAGAGTGTGTTGTTATTTTTTTTTTCTAACAGATCAGCAAACCACAACTGTTTCCTCCACTACTGTTCCTCCTAAACCATAATAGGCAGATTGCGTGAAGAAGTGGAGGAAAATACACCGCATCAGGAATTCCAAAGAATTTCCTGCCTTGGGAACAAAAGTGAAGTCTATATTTAACAACATCTGAAGCTGTCAAGAATGCTTTGTGGTTGGATAACAGAGTAGAAAAATGTGGAAAATGCAGGCTACTGCTCTACCAAACATGGAAATATTGTTACGTCTGGTGTCTGAATCATCATCTGGAAATACTTACAGCCATGAAGTCAAATCATAAGGCACCACAACAGAAGCTAGGACCCTGTGCCCCCACTCAAACCCTCAAACAGCAGAAGCAATATTAAAGAGCCAAATGAACAGCAGAATCTACAAGGAAAATGGGGTTCTAAAGGCCTACTGTTGCTTTTTTATTTACTGATGGCCCCAATAAATTCATCCACCCTCATTGGGAGTTTATGCCTTCTACACATGATTACATCAATAAAGAACCTTTGGATGTTTCCATATTTTGAACATACTGAAATATATGAAGTATTGCACCATAAAAAGTTGTACAATGTTTCTAATGTATCTAATGTATCTCTCTAATACATAGTATTTAAAGTCTGTGTACTAGTAAAAAGCATTGGTTTTGAATAGTCCTAAACTGGAACATGTAATTTGAGCACTGTTTATTTTAATTGCTTATCATTTCATGCTAGACTGAAGGTCACTGGAAGTTCACTGTTCCCTAGGAACAACTTTCAGTTCTGCTTTCTTTGAAGTAGTTTCTTTAAACACAGGTCAGAAAATCAAGAAACGGGGAACCCCTTTAAAGGGCTTTCTTTCGGTCATCTCTGTCTGGTTGTACTACCTGTAAAGTGTAGAGATGTAGGATTTGAGAGGTGGAGAAATCAGAGGATCCAAAACCTCCCTCCATAGGACTCAATCACTGTCTCAGAAAGTGGAAAACACCTTCACATTTTTTTTTTTGATTGGGCAGGAATGCCAGTCAGAAAACAATTCCAGAGGAGGGAAGATCTAGTAGCTTTGTGAAGAAAGGGAGGGGGAATCCGAACAAGTTAATTATACAGTAGTTGTAGGAGAAGAACATTNTGGCACGGTTCGACGCGGGGAGCCCCAGAGGGGGGGGGGGGAGGGTTAGGGGGGCTGAAATTCCACGCTCAAGGTGACCGTGTAGCCGAAAGCAAGATTTCCACCACCAAAACTCAGAAATCTCAAGGGAACAAGAGGATTCCCTGCCCTCTCTTTTGGATCGCCTCCAGGCAACGAGGGAGTCGTTTCTTTTGCACATGCCTCGTTCATAAACCGGGCGCGGGGGGGGGGGGGAATTAAACTACGCCATCTAAGTGTAAACTGGGGATACACCCTTTCATTCCAGCCCTGGACCAGATCCCATTGCCTGGCAGATTTGCGCGCTCCCGCCCCGTCCCCCGCGCGCCCCTCTCTTTCGCCTTTCCCTCAGGCCTGCGAGTCTTCCTTCTCATCTTCAAGAGCATATAAGCTATTTAGCAAACACGTCGAGACAATCGGTCTCAACGCCTTGCTTTCCCAGGCTGGCCAAGGGAGAAAAGTTTCCTGGGAAGGGAGACAGGAAAGGGGGGGGGGAGTTTGAAAAAAACCCAGAGAGATCAACTTGAAAAACAAAGGGAAAAAACACCACGTTTTCTACAATAGGCGTCCCTGTGCTGTGTGTTATTATATACTGTATATATATAGGTATATATATACCTATATATGTGTATACCTATATAAATACCTATATATATAGGTATTTTTAATATATATCTAGGTGTAATCTATGCTTGCTAGGAAGGGGAGGGAGGACCTGTTTTCTTGCTGTGGGACAAAAAATGGAAAGAAAAAAAAAGCAGCTTAGACAGGGAGGAGCTTGGGCGCAAACCGCGCCAAGGAAACATTCCTGAGATGCTTTAGAATTCCTGATGCTTTAGAATTCTGGAACGCGCAACGTCAGTGCAGCTGCAGCACGCGGCAGCCGGGGCGGGCTATAAAAAGCGGCTCCCTCGCGGCGCCTCTTCAGACGGCAAAGGGATCCCCGAGAAACGTTGCAAGGAGCAGCAGCAGCAGCCGCAGCCAGCACACGAGGCAACCCAGTTCTCCTCTTTGCCTTTCGCAGGACGTGGAAGGGGGGAAAAGCCGACCACCTTTTTAAAAAAAGAAGCAGCAAGGCGAGCCGCGAGGCTTTTTCGTTATCGCTTCTCCAGAACTCGTCGCCTCTGGTTCAAAGCCTTCGCCAGGGCAGAGTCCCTTCGCCCAGTCAATCCCAGGCGTGAGGCGGGGAACTTGTTTAGTCTCTCGGCGCTCCCGTTTGTCTTCCGGTTTTGACCTGAAGAAAAGACCACAGATCCGTCGCCACAAAAAGCAAGATGAACTCCCAGGCGACCAGCTGTGTCTTCTTGGCTCTTGCCCTCCTCCAGTTCGTGGACACGGTAGGCATGGGTTTTGTTTTCGGTTCTGTGGTTTTAGTTTTCCCGTCTCCCGTTTGTTTCGGTTGAAGGAGTTTTTTTCTTCTTTCTCTGTCTTTTAAATAAGGATTTATTATACACTGCCTCTTTTAAAAATCTTGCCATATGTTAAAGTTGAGAGAAGTTGAAGGAAGGGGCAGCGTGCATAGATGTTAAGAGGTGTGAAGACCTTAACCGTGCAGTCATCTATACACATCTCCTGAGAAGCCCCATTGAGTTCAGTGGGTCCTGCTTCCCAGTAAGCGGGTATATAGACCTGGAGTTGGTGGATGAGGTCATTAAGCGACAGGGGCAGATGAGGTGCTTCAGGTTCTGTTTCTAAATGTATTTTTGGTGAGAGGGCTGGTCGTTGCTTTCTTGCCTGCCTGAGCCCTTTGTATCTCATCAACATCCCAATTTGTCTCCCTTCCCCAGGTGCTTGCATCGTGCCCAGCTGTTTGCCAGTGCCCTTTGGAAGTTCCCAGATGTGCCCCAGGAGTTGGTCTGGTTCTGGACGGTTGTGGATGCTGTAAAGTCTGTGCGAAACAGCTCAACGAGGACTGCAGCAAGACCCAGCCTTGCGATCACACCAAGGGGCTGGAATGCAATTTCGGCGCCAGTTCCACAGCTCCAAAGGGGATCTGCAGAGGTAAGACTCTTGTGGCTTGGCTCCTTTAATGTAAATTTTTGAATGTGTGCAAACACACACACACACAGAGAGCTACAAACCAGTTCTAGTAGTGGTGAAGTTTAGTAATTTTCAGTCCATGTATGGTTATGCTTTGTTGTTGGTAGATTGGCAGAAGGGCATATGACTTCAGCAGTCTGGAATGCAATTCACTATGTCTGGGCTGCACTAACAGCACATAAGGAAAAGTGATTCCTGACTAACTTATTGTTCTAGCCTAGAGCTCTAGGGGATAGCAGGGAATTTTACCATAAATTGAATTTAACAGAGCAGAAAAAACCCATCCTCCTTCAGCAGACTGAGACCTGCTTATAACTCACTCCTCCTCCCATCTTTTCTAATCTCTGCAGCACAGTCAGAAGGCAGACCCTGCGAATACAACTCCAAAATTTATCAGAATGGAGAAAGTTTTCAGCCGAACTGCAAGCATCAGTGCACATGCATCGACGGAGCTGTTGGCTGCATCCCGCTTTGCCCTCAGGAACTTTCTCTGCCTAACTTGGGCTGCCCGAACCCAAGGCTAGTGAAAATCCCCGGCCAGTGCTGCGAGGAATGGGTCTGTGATGACTCTAAAGATACCCTGGAGGAGCTGGAAGGTTTCTTCAGCAAAGAGTTAGGCGTGGATGCATCCGAAGGAGAATTAACCAGAAAAAATGAGCTAATAGCCATTGTGAGAGGAGGCCTGAAAATGTTACCTGGTGAGTTGAGAATATGAAAGTTACGTTATTCTTTGCCAGGGAGTGGAGCATTTCCAGAACGGTTATACTATGGGGATTGTCTCTGGATGGCTACAGAACTCTGCTGTTAAAATTGATGAGAAGGAAAACAAAACAGCCCATAAGTATGAGATATTTACACTGTTCTTCCTCTTGCTTTCCCTTTTTAGTCTTTGAATCCGAGCCTCGCAGCCACTCATTTGAGAATCCAAAGTGCATTGTGCAAACAACTTCGTGGTCCCAGTGTTCAAAGACCTGTGGAACTGGTGTCTCTACTCGAGTCACCAACGATAATCCTGACTGCAGACTGGTGAAAGAAACCAGGATATGTGAAGTGAGGCCATGTGGACAGCCTATTTACGACTCTTTAAAAGTAAGCACGATCCCTGACCATCACACATGTTATTTCCAAGTCTTTCTGGGTGCAGTGTGTCTTATAGCGAGAGATATGACTGTTAATCTCTTCTTTTCCAGAAGGGAAAGAAATGCACAAAGACCAGGAAGTCTCAAGCTCCGGTCAAGTTCACTTACGCAGGATGTTCCAGTGTGAAGAAGTACCGTCCCAAGTACTGTGGCTCATGTGTGGACAGCCGATGCTGCACGCCCCAACAGACCAGGACAGTCAAGATCCGCTTCCGCTGCGATGATGGAGAGACCTTCACTAAGAATGTCATGATGATCCAGTCATGCAGATGCAACTATAACTGCCCTCATGCAAATGAAGCCTATCCCAATTACCGGTTATTTAATGACATCCATAAATTCAGAGACTAAGTTGCGATGTGCACAGCTTGAGCAGGAAGCTTGTTTTTGAAAAGTTTTTTTTTTTGAAGTAACAGTGAAGAAATGAACTCTTAATGGAAGTGATGCCTTTGCCCAGTGGGGGGCAACACTGAGACACAAGAATGCACTGTGCAACTGGATACTAATGCAACAGTTTGAACATACTTAAAGCTTCATAATACTGGAGCAATCTTATTGCTTCATTTTGGAGCACTTTCATGATTACTGATTTCTGTTTGTAACTGATCTGTTTATATTTTTGTCCTTCTGTCCTTGGCTGCGAAAACCTTCAGTTCTCTTCTCTTCTGTAGAATGTCACACTTTTGTTGTTGTTGTTCCAAAAAAATGACCTCATGTTCGAGGTTACATTCCTTCCTAAGGTGGGCGCTTTGGAGTTCTCATCTATGGCAGCTATAGGTACCAGCTATATATTTCATACCCACAAACAGAAATTGGTTGTTTTTAAAGCTGAATATTTTATTTATCAAAATGTAGCTCGCTCTCTCTCTCCTTTTTTTTGTGGAAAAAATCCCTAATACTGGAATAAGTTGTAAATGATTTAATTTTATATTCAGTGAATTAAGAGAATTTTATTTATGGAATTAATCATTTAATAAAGAAATATTTACCTAATTTCATTTAACATGATTCAACTTGCTTTTGAGTAATAGGAGAGCACAAGCAGTGGCAGAATTGCAGACTATGATGGATAGCACTTTAAAAAAAAGGAACCTGCATCATCCACTGGAATAAGCCCGTGGAATTCAATATGACTTACTGAACTGGCATGAATAGGATCTCACTATTTTATTTTACCCCGCTGACACTTTAATCAAGGTGCTGGAGCTGGTTATTCCATATTAGTAAAAGGCTGAGTATGGAGTTAGCAATCCTTGCTTTATAACTATGTGAACAGTTGGTGTACAGATAATCCTTGAGCATAGCCCTCTGTTTCCGGTCAGTTCTTGGTCACTCTTAAGTCAGATCACACTCTGCTTATTACCACAAGCAAGAGATTAAAAAAAAAAAACCAAGCAGATAGAGTATTTCTTTAAAATATTATTGCAACCATATTATAGAAAACAGCATGTATAAGAGAGCCAGCAGTCAATGCTTTTAATAGTTTCAACTGTAGCTCCTTGCAAATGAATACATTTCTTCTTTGTAGGGAGGAAGTTTCCTGCAGTTTTCAGAAGGCAGTTTGTTTCCCCTAAGTTCAGATTTAAATGAGCTTGAGGCAATTACTCCTGTTAATCCTAAATAACATGGTGATTAAAAGTAAACATGTTGTTAAAGAAAAGTATGCTAGGAATTCAAAGTGTTTTTCCAGCAAACCCGGAACTAGCTTCTGCTTCCTCCTTCCTTTCTAGTGAAACCTATAGAGATAAGGAGGTCTGAGCATCCAAAAGTTAAAGAGGGCCAGAGCAGAAAAAATAAATATTTGTTTTAATAAATTGTGTCCTGCTTGTAGCATATGAAGTGCTTTACAGTGCTTACCTAATTAATCCGTACAACAATCTAGAAATAAAGCTGATTAATCTTTTAGGGGGGTTGGGACTGATGGATTGGAACTTGCTTCCAGCTATCCAGTAGATTTTGAATGGCTGGATACAAAACACACACAAATCTTACACTCATTTTAAGCTGGCCATGTTTATTTTCCCTTTATATCAGGCTCAGGTAGGAAGAGAATGAGTAGGTGGTAGTGGGCAAAGAGTACTTTATCTACGCACAAGAGGGATGTATTAACAGACTTTCAACAATCCCAGGATTTGCAGCAGTACAAAAACTTGTGGAGCAGAAGATCTGTCCCTTATAAAAATCCAGTGAGTTCTGTGGCCATGGAATGTTTCTTCTCTTGGGAAGAAAAAAAGAACCCCCCTCAAATGACTCAGGAGATGGAATGGAGTATTCTTGGAGGAAGGCACAGCTGGCCAATGGGAACACTGAATACCTCACACTGCAACATTTTGTTACAGATTCCAGTTAATTGATTTTTAAAATTATTACAACTACATTGCAGAAAACAAAATAGATCCAGATGAGCAAACATGTGTTAGTCATATAAGAACCCATTCACTGGAGACCAGAGAGAGAGAGAGAAGTAATTTCTGCACGTGTCATCTCTACTTTGGGAAATGTGGATCTACCCTAGGTTTCTTTTTTTTGGGGGGGGGAAGGGACAGGTGGCAGCAACAGTAGTGAGAAGGAAACTATGGGTGGGTTTGTAAGGAGGGATACATGAGAAATACAGCTGTTTAAAAGTATCAAGTAGTATATTTGGCCCAAATGTTTGCCTACAATAATGTGTCCCTTTATCCCACGGCTGCTGCTGTGCAATACTTAGACGTAGCCAAGGTAAGCTCACCTAGTCCCCACCCAGCCTCTTCCAGGGATCTGAATGACTCAATGGGCAGCTCACTCCATCATGTCTAACATTCCACGCCACACCACCATGGGGGAGAAGGGTGTGCTGTGTTGCTGCAGTCTCAGCAGAGACGGGATGTGCAGGTGTCTGGATGCTGTCAGGCTGCAACTCCCAGCATTCCTCACCACAGGTTTTGTTTGCTAAGGCTTATGGAGGTCATCCAACCCAGCAACACCTGGAGATGCACTCTGGTTTCAGGATGGCCCTGGCGCAAGTATCAGTGGGCAACAGCTACCATTTTCAGCACTAGACCAATGTTTATTTTCATTTTCTACCAAAGTCTGAGGAGGATAGAGGCACTGCGCTGCTGGTGCTTCCTACACTGGTTATATAAACTTATTGTCCTGCAATCAAAATACCACCCAAGGGCCTCTGTAAGCCCAGCCGCCACCTCACTCTAAAAAAAATGTTTTTTAAGGCAGTTCTCAATCTGCTCAGTCATGTTCTTCTCCCTGCAAGGCATTCAGACCTTGAGCTGTCTTGGAATTTAAGTACCACCTGGCCACCCGTCTTAGCTGCACCTGAACTTGTCTGTACAATATTTTGCTATTAAGGGAGGTGTGAAACTCATTGGAGCATGTTGGGCTGGGCTTCAATTTACTCCTGGGAATGAGCAGTTTACCAGTGAAGAGGCTGAATAAATAGGTCTGGCATTCTAACTGCCAATGAACGGCATTTCATTTTGATCCACTTCTGAGTTGACTTCCTCTGACATTCCTCTGCTGAAATGGGTTGTGTGAGTTTGTAATTAGTTCATACTTCTTAAAAAATGTACAGAATTCCATTGCATATTTCTGTTCAGTATTTAACCCGCGTCATCTTCTATCAAATTCAAACTTTTCAAGTTCAGGGATATCCGGCACTTGAATGTGCCTTGTTTTCCACTGAATTGTTACAGCCTGCATGATTATACTTTAACGGAGGAGTTATGAATTATTATGCACAGGTGGGGCTTTGCCCTAAGGGGCTTGGAGTTGAAGCTTGTTCACACATCTCGAGGAGCACAGTACACAGCCGTAGTCTGCAGACAGAAAGAAGAAGTTTGTAGAAACATGTGGACAATCCTGTGAACTGGACCCAGAAGGAATCTGGCATTTTGTGCACCTAAGATATGTACGTTAGTCAGACTATTGGATTGCCTCTAGCCTAGTACTGTCTACTTAGATTTCCAGCAGTTTAACAAAGTTCTGGGGAGTTTTCCATGTCAACTGCCATCCTAAGATCTTTTTTTTTAAAGGACATGTGGAAGATCAGACTTGGGATGTTGTTCATGAAAAGCAACGGTGTGCTACTAAGCTATGACTCTTCCCCTTCCCAAGACATCTCTCATGGTGAGCCAGTCTTCTCATCAGTTGCCTCCTGTGGCAGAGGCTAATGGACAGGAGTGGCTCCACCCAAGCTACCTTCTTCTCCACCATTGCCCTGTGTTAGAAAACAGAATTGCCTGACCTATTCTGCATCCCCAAACCAGAGAGTGGCAAGATCATTTTTCTGGACTACATAGCCATGCCCACCGTAGGATTCTGGGAGTTGTGGTTTTAAAAACCAGAACCACTCTGCCGAAGACCTCCAACAACTCATGAATCATTTTAGCAAGGCCTGCCAAGACTTTGGACTAACTATCAGCCTGAAGAAAACACAAGTCATATTACCATCTCCATGCAAGAATTGGAGGTTGTCCATGAATTTGTGTACCTTGGCTCAACCATCTCTGACACTCTTTCCCTAGACGTCGAGCTGGATAGACGCATTGGCAAAGCAGCTACCATGTTCTCAAGACTCACAAAAAGAGTATGGCTCAATAAGAAGCTGACAGCATACACCAAGATCCAGGTCTATAGAGCCTGTGTCCTGAGCACACTCCTGTACTGCAGTGAGTCCTGGACCCTTTGTGCACAGCAGGAGAGGAAGCTGAACCCATTCCATATGCGCTGCCTCCGACGTATTTTTGGTATCACCTGGCAGGACAAAGTTCCAAATAGAATAGTCCTAGATTGAGCTGGAATTTTTAGCATGTATACACTACTGAAACAGCGACGCCTACGTTGGCTCGGGCATGTTGTGAGAATGGCTGATGGTCGGATTCCAAAGGATCTCCTGTATGGAGAACTAGTGCAGCGAAATCGCCCCAGAGGGAGACCACAGCTGCGATACAAGGATATCTGCAAGCAGGATTTGAAGGCCTCGGAAATGGATCTCAACAGATGGGAAACCCTGACATCTGAGCATTCAGCCTGGAGGCATGTGGTGCATCACGGCCTCTCCCACTTTGAAGAGACCCTTGCCCAGCAGGCTGAGGCAAAGAGGCAGTCACGAAAGCAGCAAAATCAGGGAGCTGGACAGGGTACAGATTGTACTTGTCCTAAGTGTGGAAGGGATTGTCACTCTCGAATTGGGCTTCTCAGCCACACTAGACGCTGTTCCAAGTCCTCCATGCAGAGCACGATACCATAGTCTCTCGAGACTGAAGGATGCCTATAATGATGGTTTTAAAAAGCAATGTTCTCAAGCTCTCTCTAAATTAGCCTACTGCCCTCAGGTGCAAGGAGGAGTACCCAGACAAAACGGAGGTCTTGAGGGTGGGTGGCCCTTCCATTAGTGGCATAGGTGACTCCCTCTCTTTTGGGGGGGACGATCCTTGCCGCAAAGAGTGAGGTCCGCAGCTTGGGGATACATCTGGACCCGGCGCTTACCATGGAAACCCAGGTGGCATCCGTGGTCCGTTCCGCCTATTTCCATCTATGGCGGATTGCCGAGCTGCGACCATATCTTGATGGGGGGGGCCCTCACTGCTCTAGTCCATGCGCTCGTAATCTCAAGATTGGACCATTGTAATGCACTCTACGTGGGGCTGCCTTTAAGGTTAACGCGGAAACTTCAAGGGGTCCAGAATGCGGCAGCCAGGCTTCTAAGTGGGGTGAGAAAATATCAGCATATCTTCCCCACTCGGGCTACCTTGCACTGGTTGCCTATCCACTTCCGTGTTGACTTTAAAGTGCTTATGATTACTTATAAAGCCCTAAAAGGTTTGGGACCTCAATATTTGGCAGATTGCCTTCTCCCACCCAGATCTACCCAAATCACCCGTCATAGCCAGCAGGAACAGCTGAGGGGCCTGATGTCGAGGGAGGCCCAGAAGGAAAAAACAAGGAACCGGGCCTTCTCGGCGGTGGCCCCTTGGCTGT